ATCTCGAACAGGCTACGAAGCCTACGACTACAAAGTCGATTAACACAACTACGAAGTTGTAATCTCGAATGGATTCTCGAATAGGCTATGAAGCCCGCGACAACGAAGTCGACTTAAACAACTATGTTGTAATTTCGAGTCGGTTCTCGAACAGGCTATGAAGCCTATGACTACGACGTCTAACAATCGTAACTATGCAATGATTCTGAATAACGATGCAGCTAACGAATATTAAGTCGACTAACACAATCCCATGGATACAACATCGACAAGGGCTACACGACAGCTACAAAGCTGATAAAATCACTGCTCGACTTCGACCAGCTCGCAAGCTGGGTTGGGAGATGACGAGTTAAAAAACTTATGTTTATCAGCTACGAAGCTGCTAAAATATTGCTCGACTTCGATCATCTCGCAAGCCGGGTTGGAAGAAGACGAGTTGAAAAACATTACGTTTATCAGCTACAAAGCTGCTAAAATCATTGCTCGACTTCGACCAGATCGCAAGCAGGGTTGGGAGAAGACGAGTTGAAAAACTTACGTTTATCAGCTAAAAAGCTGCTAAATATCTTGCTCGACTTTGATCAGCTCGCAAGCATGGTAGGGAGAAGACGAGTTGAAAACCTTTACATTTATCAGCTACAAAGCTGCTAAAATCATTGCTCGACTTTGACCAGCTCGCAAGCAGGTTTGGGAGAAGACGAGTTGAAAAACTTTAGATTATCAGCCACGAAGCTACTAAATATCTTGCTCGACTTCGATCAGTTTGCAAGACGGGTTGGGAGAAGATAGGAGGGAAACTAGAGCCAACGGCTCAAGAAATTGACGACTTCAAGAACAAAGTGCTGTCTCGACTACAAAGTCGACTTACAGAACTTCGAAGTTGCGACCAAACGACATTAGAATAAAACGATAACGAGCACAATAAAAAAACAATAGTACAAAGTACGAGATGCAAAGAAACGAAGAAACAAGGAAAAGCATAATATTGATAGTTCAATAGATGCATACATTCTAAAGCGTCTTGACCTTTACAAAATCTGAAATGCAGATCAAGACGAGCAAAAAGAAACAGAAAACTACAAAACCATTCTTAAAAAGAAAATAAGAGCTTCAAGATTCAGCAGTCGACATCGCCTCATCATCATCATCATTAGCCACATTCGTCTCAGTCTTTTCGACATCACCACCCTCGCCTTCCTCAGCCGGCTTCTCAACTTCTCCATCCTTGACCTCCTCCTCCCCGACCAGCTCCTCGCTCTCCTCGACGTTGAGAGGCCCCTGATAATTCTCTCCACTTGGCCCGACTAATCCGGTCGGACTGGTCAAGGGAGCAGGAGGAACCTCAAGTCGACCATCCTGCCCAACCATATGAATGGCTCTCGCCTCGAGACCAATCCACCACGGGTGGTCGTGAGGGAGAGAATCGTCACCTTTGTAGTCGACGGGTTAGGGTAGCGTCTTCATAACCTCCTCGCGGTTCAATCTACCCGCGCACTCCGTGCCAGCCACGGCCTTCTCCCACGCATCAAATGTATGATTGAAGTACTGAATTGTCGCGGGGCAATGCTTCTCGAGAAAGGCCGGGGAGTTGCAAAGGAGTTTGATAGCCTCTTGGCGGTAGTGCTCGAGGAACACAGAACCCATCGGGGACGTAAGAAAGGTCCTGCGTCCCTCGAGGACTCCCGCCTCCCTCTCGGCCATGCCATCATCGGCAGCTTTCTCGAGGTCGGCGCCCAGTTGGTCGACCTTCGAAAGAGCGACGACCTTCTCGATCTTGAGTTTGGCGATTGGCCGCCGCGAGGTCGTCATCCTTTTTCTCGAGCTCGCGGGCTTGGACTTTAAACTTTATCTTGTAAGCATGGACATTGGAGTCGGGCGATTTGGACCCTTCGAGGAGAGTAGGAATCGCATACGCCATAAACTAAAGGAAAGAACAGAGGATTAGAACTAAGTCAATAAATGAATGAAGTCGACTAGATAGAAGTCGAGATAATTACCCGAGAAAAGCAGAGAAGGGAGCAGTTGGCACGATCATAAGGATCACGATCGGCACGAGCCTTATCAGCCGGAGGGAAAACAGAGTCGAGGTAATTTGCCACCTCATGCAGATCCGGCAGAGTGAAGTCGGCCTCGTCTTGGCCCCTTTTTCGGGAATGCGAACCCGATGCCTTTGGATCCTTGGCAGTCGACGGAATCACTACCCTCGATTTTTTGGCGACAGCCGTCGACTGCCGCTTCTTTCGCCCCCGACCCAGAGCCACCGTCGGGCTTCTTTGGGAGAATGGATTGGCCGGCGGACTTCTTGTCAGCCTTGGGCTTCACATTCTCGAAGCGATAAAGGATCGAATCTGCATAGGGGAAAAGGATCAGTCTTAGCAAGACAAAGTAAAAAAGCAGGTACATTAAAACAACAATAATCACATATCAAGTGAATAAGAACAACTTACGAGGAGCTTCTCGAGAAGCTTTGTCCCGCGACAATTCAGTACTTCAATCATACATTTTATGCATGGGAGAAGGTCGTGGCTGGCACGGAGTGTGCGGGTAGAGGAGGTTAAGAAGATGCTACCCTACCCCGCCGGCTACAAAGTTGACGATTCTCTCCCTCGCGACCACCTGTGGTTGTCTGGTCTCGAGGCGAGAGCCATTCCTATGGCTGGGCTGGATAGTCGACTTGAGGTTCCCCCTACTCCCTTGGCCAGTCTGACCAGATTAGTCGGGCCAAGTGGAGAGGATTATCATGGGCCTCTCGACGTCGAGGAGAGCGAGGAGCTGGCCGGGGAGGAGGAGGTCAAGGATGGAGAAGTTGAGAAGCGCGGGATTGCTAAGAAAATTTGGAGGGTTTGAGAAAATTCGAGAAAATGCAGAAAGTGGTTTATTGTGAAGATGGAATGAAATTATACAAAATGAAGACAAATATTGACCCTTAGATCAAAGGGAGATTTGACGGTCCATATAAGGCACGAAATTCGAAAAGACGGAGGTGGAGGTGGCGTATCACATCCAAATTCAAAATTTGAAATTCGAAAAGACATCCGTGTCAGGCTAATCCAGATAATCCCATGTACTGTACCCTATTCAGAAACCAAATCGCGGACGACTTGACGCAATGACGAGACGAGCTTCTATCATAACGGGCATTCATTGATATAAAAACAAGTTAATTGATATAGCCATATGATATAGACATATTAGGATATACCAGTTCAAATACCCTTTGTTCGACTGAGATGACGAGTCGAACCGTTCACATGTCGATATTCCCGAGTCGACACCTGTATGTCGACCTCCAAACGGCTGTCAACTCTGCACGAGCCATCTAAAGGCGGATGCCAGCTTGACTAGGGTCGACGATGGACAAAGTCGACTTCCCTACGTCGGCTCATGAAGTCGACCTTCACTAAAAAGACGAACAAGCGTAGCCTCTGAATACTCTCATGATCCTAAGTCGACCTCCCAGTACTCGAGGTCGACTCCTTGCGCCTCGAGTCCCAAAACATAATGACGACTCAGTATACTTGAAATATCTCTTGAAGTCTCATATTCTCTAATGGATAAGAAGGAATCTTGTGATGACTAACATAAAGGGCATTTTGGGTACTTCAAGGAAGTGTTTCCTCCTACATAAAGGGGCTGAGGTAACCCTAAACCCTAACTTCCGTTCATTCCATACACTTCCTCTCCTGCTGCTGCTCTCTGAGAGTAGCTCTCTTGTTCATCTCTTTCACATACTGACTTGAGCGGCGGAGGCTCTACGCCGGAAAGACTTCCAAAGTTGAGTTCTTGCAGGTGTTTACGGCGGTCTATCAATGATTCGGAGGCGGTTCAAACAGATTTGAGCTCAGAACCACCGGTTCACTTTAGATCTAGAAGTAAACCCATCAACATTATAATAATTAAATGCAAGCAATAATAAAATGAAATAAAAGCAAGCAATAATATAAATGAAAGCAAATAAAATAAATAAACACGAGAAATCATATAATTTGAAAAGGGCGCTACAGGCCACCTCCGATTAACTCAAATCGGCTGAAAAAATTGGTTACGTGGGCCCAAGCGCTCTTAGGTGAGCTCGGCAAGCTCGACGGCCAGGCAACTCGGCGGCGCCTAGGCGGTCTTAGGTGGGCCTAGGTACTCCTAGGCGGCCTCGACGGTAATTTTTTAATTTTTTTTTTAAATATTAATTATTTTATTTTGTTATCATGTTTTCTTTATAGTATACTAATATTATCATTTAGACTTATATATGTGAGTTTATTATAAGTTGAGGTACATTTATTTTACGGGTAGTAAAAAAACAAAAAAAAGTAGATTTAATCTTAATTTCTAAACCTCGTCTAGACACTCTAGGTGTTAGGCATTGGTCGAGCGCTTTAGCGACTTCTAGAAGTAAGTTGCATTTATTTGGTATTGATTAAATATTGAGTTGTTCGGAAGTCCTTTCTATAAAAATAAAAAATATCGAGGAAGACACTCCTGCAAATTTGCTTTTCCCCCTCCTGTAAGCATACACGCACGTTGATAAAAGTTCCCGTACTTGGGCTTATGCCTGTCATTGGTTCTATTTTTGTCTCTTCATTGTTGGCAAAACAAACACCACAAAATAATGTCACAATACATAATCAACACACGTTTTCTGAAATATATATAAACGCATGCTAGAATGCAAATGAACAAAATTTGCACAAACCCAAGCACAAAAATTTTCTTATAAAGGCAGCAAAACAGTAAAATTGTTATACTGAATCGAATTGAATTGTGGATCCTTGTAAACATTTTATTTTGTGTCTTATGAGATTATCTATCGTTTGGAAAAAAAAAAAAGAAAAAAGAAAAAAAAATCGAATTGAATTATGTGCCTCAAGTGTAGGCATATCAAATTGGACTCTGAATAAGTTATTGTGAGGGAATACCAAATCAAAGAGATGAGCTACAACACAAACTTATCAAACTTTCCAGGCCATTACAAGGAAACGTCTAAATTAACGCAGCTAACTTCATTGAGTTTGTAGAACCCGGGAACGGTATTCTCCAAGCGCCCAAATAGGGAAAATATTCCTATATGCAGCATATGTGATCATGCAATTCTTGTTGAAGACCCCCATTATTTCCTAACAAAGCACAAGACATTAGTTGTTAGTGATGATGGTGTTTTTAAACAATTACCTCTTTTTAACAATAACCTTAACACTGATTGCAGTGTCTCAGACGATGAGCATGCCTAAAAAGGATAAAACCCTGAAGCAATTTTGTACCGCAACAAAATCATCAAGAAAATATTCACATTATACTTTTGTTATAGTGGCTTTTGGTGAACAACCTCGATATGATTGATTTCCTGTGGTTAACTTCTTTGCAAGTGTTACCATAAATCGATGCACTTAGCGTTCAAAAAGAAACAAATATGTTCAGCTTTTTAAATTTACGACGGAAACATACTTACCTGTTGTGGAAAGTCACCATTTTCACACTGCGAATTTATTAGGACTTTGGCTGCTCTGTGCAATGGCAAGGGATCTCTCTCAGCCTGCATGATAGCAACAGACAAAGGAAAATACGCATTTGTGTTCAAAAGATAAATTGAAAGGGAGAATTTGAATCTGCTCCTTAATTATTAATCAGTTTGGATAAACTTATTTATGTTATTTTACATTTGCAGGTGTTCTAATAGACATTATTTCTCATATACCGAAAGTCGAAAGCAAACTAAAGAGAAACAGGAACGCGATACTAAATTACTATGGTTATAGTAACAGGTAAAAGTCTTTTACCTGCCCAGCGTCAATGAGAGCCAGCATAGCCCATCCTGTATTTACCACATGAGACATGTTCCCGTCTAAATTACTATACACCTGAAGAGAGAGCATTATTTCAGTATTTGAGCAAATTAATACCTGTACCAAACAATATCAGTAAGGACATATCATGTTTGCAAATGACAATGAAGTTAAGGGAAGATAAAATTTACTTCAAAGATTGTAATTGAACACTTGATATCCACAATATATATTCTCTAAAAATTTTCCCTTGTTATCGGTTAGTGTGAGAGCAAGCTTTCTAGTTCTTAAAAGTGTGCATCACTCACCATAACTTTCTCAAAAGAAATATATATCCTACAAATCAGTTCTGAGTATATAAAGATAAGAATACACGGAGGCACTTGAAAAATGACACACAGGATTATCCAATCAGAGTTGTGTTTCAGTCCTCAGCATGAGTTTCTCCACAATCGATATTGAAGAAAAAAAATCCCCACCCTTCCCTTAGTGTTTACGTAGTGAAAAAAATAAAATATTACAGGAAACAGGCAATTGGAACATCATGTTCACAAAAAGCAGTAAAGAATACATACTGATTCTAGGGACATAGTCAAACCTTGGAACTTATCACTTTACAGGATTTTGAAATATCATATGCATCAGAAAGTACACAATCAAACACTGAGCAAAACAAGAGTAGAATTAAATTTAAGTAGCCAACTAGTATAATGTAATATATAATTTCTCCAATGATGAGTCATAATCGCGAGCTAATGCATGCAGGTAAGATTACGTGATGTCTAAAAACATTTCCACAGTCTCCATATAGCCCATGCATACGTGTGAAGCATGTCATGAAGATGATAAGACTTGAACTCATAGCCAATCAGCTTAACTCATTTCTAGTATCAACATTGAACATTCAAGAACTGCAGCTAAAACATTTGTTCTTCAACAGAAACTACCAATGTTGTCTATTATGACCTTCGAGCTTCCGGTAATAATCATAGTTTACAATCAATATATGTCTGTGTAACTATGTTTATATGTGTACACATTTTGCAAAATACTGGTTGTGCATTCACATGTCACCACACACGAATGAAAAAACAACTAGTTTAGAAAATTCTCAACCTTGTTTTGACATGAAAGGTAACTCTCTCCCCAGCCGCCACAGGGGAGTTGTTTAGACAACAGAAAATCACAAGCCTTGGGAATGGCAGAGCAACTATTAAAAGTTCGACCAGCTGCCACCAGGCCCTTTACCCCAAACCATGTTCCATAAGTGAAGCAAACTGCCCAAGAACCATACCTGTCACAAAGTTTCAGTAATTAATAATGTAGTTGATTGCCAGACTACATAAAAATCAAGCACAACCATGCAAAGAACTTCATAGATTAGTTGAGTATAGCCAGATGTTGAAAAACATAAATTTGAGGAAGAAGTGATGGTATACAACTGCATGCTTCATCTGGTCATACTTATTATGCAACAAGTATTAAGAAGAAGTTACACATGGAAGAGTCAAACTGACCAGGAGCCATCGGCTGCTTGAATTTTTTCAATGAATTTTGCACCTTTCTCTATGCACCGCTCAACTTCCACTTTGCGATGCCCAGGGTATAATTTCTTAAATGCTGTTAGTGCCTGAATAGCAGCCGAAGTGCACTCAACATAGCTGTAAAATGCAGTTCAAATTGAATTCATGATATATGGAAGGCAATGCCTTAAATCAACTCTATCGTTATTTTATGTCCGGTATGCAAGAATTTTTAGGAAATGAATCTACTACATTCACTTTTGCATTTTTATTGTGGAGTTGGAGAGTAAAAGAAAGAAACCCTTCTACATATATGCTCTATACACATCAAACGTAAACAGATGCTCTTGTTTCTTTCACTCTACAATGTCACAAGAAATTTAGAAAAGGCAAATGTAGAGAGAGATCTTTGTCCACAAAACTAGCTACCACATCTAGTTACTCTTACATTAGTCCGAAAACTTTTATCTGCTAATAGGAAGTAGAATGTTCAAGCTAGGCAGAGATGAAATATCAAATAACAGATTTCCAGTTAATTTTAATGATTTGTGCCGAAACACATCAAGTCTGTTGTATATAGACATGAAGAAGAAGAAGAAGAAGAAGAGACATCTTACGGATAATCAATGACAATGTCGCCAAAAGTTTCAGCAGGATTGATTAGCTGCGAGAAACAAATACTTAATCTCATCAAATATAGATATAACCAAATCAAGGAAAAGATTATCAAATTTGGATTCAATGCACAACTGCGACAAAATTAGATTAACTAAGCTCTTTTTAGACTGGAAAAACTGAAATATTGCATGTGCAGCTATGACTGGATGACCAGATGATGTTACAGCAAATAACTTAAATATGTTCCATATGTTTCACAAGTATTGAAGTGCAAGAGCATTCAAAGAGATAAACAGAAAAAACATATAAGTTGTTAAACATGTAAGCTAGAGTAGTCCAGATCATCAACAGACCATAACTGAATCACTCTGGCAAACATTAAACCTTAAAATGTATCATATTTCATTCCAGATTAATATTCTAACCACCAAAATATTATTCTCGAAGGCATGCACATATAACATTTTGAAAGTAACTTTATCAGTAAACNACGTTCATACGATTCACAAGGTATACTAGATCATTTACCTCCAACCAACTATAGGATCTTGTCAATTCATAAGTTGCGAAGCCTCCCTCTACATTCTGCATATTATGTCAACAAATGTTCTCCTCAGGCTAACAAAAATATTCAGCGACAAATATCATTTATATTTGTTGCTTGGATCCATGAACTTTAATTTACATAAACATCATCGTTAGTCAATTTCCGTGCTCCCAATTTTTGAAAATTTAGTATCTATGAAATTTTGACTAGATATGGCCACCAGGCACAACTGTGGACCGGCAGACCCACCAGTTCGAGTCCGTTGACCAGTGAACCGGAAGCGTTGTGAAAAGTTCCGATTCAAAACCAAAACCAGTCAAAACACGGGGCCTGTTTAGGTTCATCCCCATAATTTTCCGAAACTAGGACCATTTGAACCGCCGATTTCTCCCAAAGTGAAATTTGAATTTTGAACCGGTGGCTCACGGTTCTGACCCAGAACCGGATGAATTGATGGTTTTTCCTCCTGAACCATCTGAAAAAGTTCATGGTTTATAGTATTTGAATTCAACTTTTCTTTCAGATTGTTCAAGTAGGAAAACTGGCAGCTTAAGTCATGAATTGTCCAGAAACTTTTCAACAGCCTGTTTGGGGAAAAAATTGGGGATGAATCGGAACAACCCCATGTTTCCAAAACCGTGGTCAACGGTTCTGGTTCAGAGGTCAACGAGCTGCTGGTCCAGTTCGGCCCCATGGTCACATCTATTCCAAACACAAAGTTATCCAGCGACAATGTGTAAGATTTAGTTTCAATGAAAGACACTTTTATTTACATGTTCATGATTTAATCACATATGTGCATCATACTTACACTACAAGCACAGAAGTGGCCTACCTGTAGTGAAAGAATAACATTCACAGCATCGTACAACCGTTTGGGATCAAGTGGTTCACCAACAACTTCATTTGGTAACTTTGAAAGCAACAGAACTGCCTGAAATAACAGAATTGGGTTACCACGATAGTTGTAATATATCAAGAAAATATTGCGTTAGGATAGTAATAATAGAAAGAATAAAAAAGATAAACACTCTTCAGATTAAACTTGTTACTTTCAGTCCCTCAGCAGTGCAATCTGAAATAGGCCAACCATGGTCTGCAGTGGAAAATGGCCAGGCACCTTTGGAAATGTGACGATACCAATCATCTAGATTGCCTGGGCAATCATCCAACACCTTTAAAATCAAAGGTAGAGAAATTGTAAGATCATCAACATGAACAATAGAAGTCATATCAAGAGAAGAACAGAGAAAAATCCAATGACCTGTGAATTCTTTATGTATGTATGAGCTTTTCTTAGTGTTTGCCCAAATTCGTCAACAAGTTTTGTTGAAATTATAGCCTGAACAGCAAAGGAAGCATCCCACAACTGACTTCCATTGTATCCCTAAAATAAAACATGTTACTTAAGAGTGCCGTTTTCTGATATAGCTCTTCGATGCAATAAAACTTCACAAAGTCAAGAAGGATAAGAAAAGAGCAGAAAGGATTTGAAAAGAAACAATATGATAACCATTTCCAGAAATCAAAACACATTAACAAGCATACAAAGAATGTAAGGTGACCTAATAGAATGCATAAATATTTTTCCTTATTGTAAAGGCGTCAATTTAGGCAATGTTTTTGGACAGGGATAGTAGTATAGGCTAGACCTGTGCACCATGTCGCTTGAAGCAGGTTCTGCGATGTAAATGATAGATATAGCTAATGGAAGTTCAAGTCCAATTGAGTTTGCACTGGCTTTATAGTTTTTTTCATTTAGTCTTCCTTCCACCATCACAATTTGGCTCTTTTCCTGTTTTCTTATTATCTTTCCCTTTAATCTTTTCACTCTCTCTGCTTCTATCTTTGATAGGTGGAATCTTTGGCTGTTTTTCTTCTTTCTTGAATCTCTATTACATTTCTCATACTGATGTTGTTTCAAACCTTTACCACCCAGACCTTCTTTGTTTATGTGTAAGATCTTTGAGGGGCCCATTTCTCCTAACATCCAAGAATCAGATACTATCGCTTGAGTTCTAGAATCTTCTCAACTCAAGATTTTAATTGGGATTATTCCACAATTTAAGTGATTAAATGAGAAGAGGACTTCAAATGCTTCATACTTATTTATGCTTTGGTTTGAGGATCAGTAAGGGACAGTGCCTAAAGCTATCTGGCTGTTGCTAAAGACACCTGAAACCATACACTTCATCTCGTTTCTACTTTGGAAGAGAAAAAAGTAGTGAAGTTTAAATATATCCAGATCTGCTTGCTCTGTGTTTCAAATAATGGCATCTCATTTAGGAACTTTAAGCAGCCGCAAGATACGTATGCAGGATTAGAGTCATGTCATCTTCTGGTACAGGTCACATTGCATA